GTTAGTTATTATTTAACCTCCTTCAGGAGAGCCTAGAGCGCTTTCTATCCTTAATTGCACCCTGTCACCTCTAAAAGATAAAAATGGGTAGTGAAGAGAGATAGAGAAGAATAGAGCCTTAATAGAGCTTGTAGTTTCTCTTAAAGCAAGAAGGGGTTTTGTGAACTCAAGTGTGCCATGGTCATTATTTGTTTCCACTACAACTGAATGGCCGAGAGGTCACGGGGGATATTTTATACTTATTTATACAGACCATTTGAAGCTGAAGAAGAAAGGTTTTCAGATGAAGAAATGTCGTTTCATAAGAGCTGCATTATGGGTGTGTAAATTTAGTACTAGAACACTTGACAAGGTAATCAATCAGTTTTATGTATCTGTAAATATTCAGTTTAGCGACGTATGTATATCTGCTCTGGATAATGAGACGCTAATGAGCCTGTCTGTTAGCGCATCAAAAGCCCAGACATCAGAGGCCACTGCAGGGAACAAGAGGTCGCTGTCATACACAGTCCACTGTTAGTGACCCTGGGCAGATACCGTAAGAAACCCAGCAGCTAGCAGATACTAACTGCATTTAAGCCTGTCCAAACAGTGTCTGTGTAAAGGTTAGGGAATCCAGACGAATTAAGGGTTGTATCTTGTGGGTTTTCGGTTTGTTTTATGTTGGTTACTTGGATGGTAAGTGATAAGACAGCTTGTGTGACTTCGTTATGTGCTGAGTGTGTATATTTAGGAAGGTTAACACTGTGGCTACAGGAAGTGTTGCCCACAGTGTCTCAGCAATACAGTATGGCGGTTAGGGCAGGGGGCACAGCCTCGTTCCTTGTTCCGTTATGCATGACTGTACTGTTCATTTGGTCATAATACACCTAAGGGAAGAGGGCACGGCCTTGGATTCCTATTTCTGTTCCAGATAAATGCCCACTGTTAATGTTGCCTTCTTGATAACAATTTTCAGAAATCGCCACCATGGATGCTAGTGTGCTCTGGGTCATTGCTATATTGCTATATGGTTGCTAAGATGTTCTGGGTGGTTGCTAGGGCATTGATATGCAGTTGCTAGGGTGTTCTGGATGTTTACTGGCCTAAGTCAAAAGAATTTCTGATATTCTGATCTCTAGATATGACTTGGGTACCCCCTTATTATACACTACCATTCAAAAGATTAGTTCAGTATGATTTTTTTTTTTTTGGAAAGAAATTAATACTTTTATTCAAGGACCCATTAAATTGATAAAAAGTGACAGTGAAAAATCTATTTCAGATAAATGCTGTTCTTTTGAACTTTCTATTCAAAGAATTAAGTTTGTACTGTGATCAGTTTGTACGAAAATATTAAGCAGCACAAATGTTTTTAAAATTGATAAGAAATGTTTGAGCACCAAATCAGGATATTATGTTTTAATATTTAAAAAATATTATGTTATAATGTTTTTTGAAGGATCATGTGACACTGAAGACTGGAGTAATGGCTGCTGAAAATTCGGCTCAATTCAAATTCAATTCCTTTTTATAATTATTAAAATAGAAAACATTTATTATAAATTGTAAAAACATTTCAAAACTGATATTACTGTATTTTTATTAAATGAATGCAGCCTTGGTAAGCATAAGAGACTTCTTTCAAAAACATAAAAAAAAATCATACCAACCCCAAAACTTTGGACAGTGGTGTAAGTGTAAGATTTTTTTTGCCATTTTTATTGCCCACCAGGTGAAAATTGTACATCCAATTGTACTAAAAAAAAAAGTGGTTGCTATGGTGTTCCGATTTGTTTCTAAGTGAAACGTTAAAAGAGCCCACCCTACAAGACTATAATATTATAATGCCTAGATTTGAATCAAGTCCTTCCTTTAATAAAAGTCTGTGGGATTTTTTTGCCTGTTTCATCATCCACCTGTGTGAAAATTTTTATTCTGACCCCTTAGAAAAGTACTAAAGTGCTTGCCTAAGTATGCATCACTAATAAGCTATAGACTGCATAAGTGATGAAATATTTTTTTAGAGCAAGCGAGAGAACACTTTAGAATAGTGTTTCATTATGCAACGCTGTTTGGAGGCACTTGATTCAAAGACTAGTTGTCCACAAGAGTGTATACTGTAGGGATATGCCAAATTTTCATGTTGCGATTAATTGCTAATGCTTTTATCACGGTATACGGTATTATCACAATATTGAAATTTAGTTTTAAAAAAAGTGCTGTCATAATACAGTATAACAGGTTTAATAACATTTTTCTTATAACAAAAATAACTGAACATTTAAATGCAATAAAGCAATACAGAAAAATGTATAAAGTTAAAAGTTTTACACAGATTAAAGTGCAAACGAACTATAAAGACCAGTAGGTATCACTTTACAATAAGACCACATTAGTTAAACTTAGTTAATGCATTAACATTCACAATGAGCAATAGCTACATTTGCTACAGAAGTTATTAATCTTTGTTTAAAAAATACAAGTCTTAGTTCATGTTAGCTCATTAAATAACATAGTTGCAACTTTCGATTTTAACGTGTTATTAAATATTGTAATTACCTAAGATTAATGAATGCTCAGAAGAATTTTTCTTTGGCAGTTTGTTAACTAATGAATTAACTAATGTTAACTAATGAAGCCCTAATGTAAAGTGTGACCGAACAATAAAGAATCAAAACACTTTCAAACAATATCTAGGGCATGTTGTAGTCCAGATTAAAATGTAAAAAAAGATTGAAAATAAATAGCCTTATTAAGTCTAAGTATTTAAGTATTTGGCTCTGTGATGAACATCATAGCAAATTCACAAATCTGAATGGCTATTTAAATCCTTTAAACATGATTCAGAAACAGGAAGTAGTGCAGCTGCTTTGTTTACAGGGTTTCCGGGGTAACGGCTGCATTTAAATGAATTATTATTATTTCTACAGTTTAGCGCCATCTGCTGTCAGAGAGTGAAAGTGCGCTTTCATCCAGAGCGTCTCTCACATGTTCCGCCATGTGCTTCAGGTCCGGGCTTGTTTACATCAGCGCTTGTTTACATCAGAGTGTGCACGCTTCTTTCACGCAGCATACAGCGTGTTGTGCATTTTGACCAGTTGATGGGAAAAGTATTCTTAAAATGCATTCAAAATTCTAAATAATTTGTAATATATAATTATTCACGGTATTTAGTCCAAGTCTAGTATACTGTGGTAAATACTTGATTTCTATCTCCTCTCACCACAGTGGAAAAAATTAAGAACAGTTTCTTGTGCCGTTTGCCTATTTAGGTCACATCACCGGCTAAATTTAAGGCCAATTAGCTTTCGTACCAACCTCTAAAGCCCCAGTTCTTATGTCTAATTTCTGCTGTGGCAGATCCAACTTACTTCTTTCCATGTGTGCAGTAGGGCTGGACTCCTGGAGGAAGTATTGAAGTGTGGTGTCTATGAATTAGGGCTGGAGAGACAGGCCATGCTAAGTGTTACTGTCAGAGAGGAGCTGCCACGGAGAGAAGGAGGAAGGGAAAGTGACAGCGTAAATCCCTCCACACATTTACTCCAGCTCCCCGTCTGTCTGCCTGTTGTATGTCGGGGGAGGGCGGTGTGGCTGCTTTAACAAGAAATTCAGCACATCAACATGTCTTATTTTCCTTCACTATGTCTTTGTATCTTGAGTAAACTGTCGGATTTTGGGCTAGATGAAATATCTGTCATTAGCAGCGCTTGCTAAATACTGTTGTTCATAATTAAGGGTTAGAGGTTTTTCAAAATGTCAAATCGTGGAGCTTCTGTTTTTCTAAGTGATTATATGTACGATTTTCACCAGGTGGATGATAAAAAGGGGGGAAAAAACCTTCAAACGTTTCTATTAAGCACAAACTCCATATTTAGGGCCTTGAACTTAGGGCTTGGGTAAGTAAACCCCCAAACACTACAGCAACCACATAGCAACTACTTAGAACACCCTAGCAACTACCCCAAATGCCTTAGCAACCACATAGCAGCACACTAGCATCTACCACAAACACCTTAGTTAACGCCCTAGCAACCTCCCAAAACACCCTACAAAGCATAGCAACTATCACAAATGTCTTAGCAACAGCATTGCAACAACCTAGAAACAAGCCCAAACACCTCAGCAATGCCCTAGCAACCACCCACAACACCCTAGCATTGTAGACTCCATTTCTAATGCCTAGAAAATAATAGAAATGGCTATTATTACTTGGGACTTGGGTAAGTAACCCCCCCAGACACTTTAGCAACCATGTAACAACACCCTAGAAACCTCCCAGAACACCTTAGCAACCCGCTAACAACCAAATACTTTAGCAGTGCCCCAGCAACCACCTTAGAGCACAGAGCACCTTAGCATTGTGATCTATGGCTTAGAAAATCTAAGAAATAGCTTTTCTGATTTGAGACCCAAAAAACGCCCTAGCAACTGTATGTTCTAACAGCTTGGGACTTGGGTAAGTAAACCCTCAAGACATCTTTGCAACTGCATAGCAACACCTTAGCAACATCGTATAAAATCTTAGCTATGTCCTAGCTACCGCCAGAACACTTTAGCAATGCCCTAGCAACCATCTGGAACACCCTAGCAATAGAAAAGCAACTACCCCAAATGCTTTAGTAACTGCATAGCAACAAAGTAAGTAAACCCTAGACACATCCTAGCAACTGCATAGCAATGCCCTAGCAACCACCAAGAATACCTTAGCGATGCCCTAGCAACTACCTCAATTGTATAACAGCACCCTTACAACCTTAGCAATGCTCTAGCAACCACCCAGAGCACCCTAGCATTGCGTTGGTGGGTTTTACATGAGCAAACTCCGTTTTCTCAATTTTCTAATTGGATTTTTCTTAGCCTCTGCTTTGTTAATTTGTTTGATTTAACAAGATGTTTTCAGGAAGTGCACCAAATTTAGTGTATGTCATGTTTGAACAGTTTAGCACTGTCATGAAGCGATATGTGAGCATGTAACATTCCATAGATTCCTTTTATAGTTTCCTTTTCCTCTTTTGCAGCAATACTTCACGCTACTCATCATTACTGACGGTGTGATCAGCGACATGGATGAGACACGTCATGCTATAGTTCAAGCCGCCAAACTGCCCATGTCCATCATTATCATCGGGGTGGGCAACGCCGACTTCACCGCCATGGAGTTTCTGGACGGAGACAGCAGCGCGCTCAGATCCTACACGGGAGAGGAGGCGGTTCGAGACATCGTGCAATTTGTCCCATTCAGGGACTTTCGCAACGTGAGTGTTTCTCATCCTGATTTCCTCTCTTGATTCTACACTGCTTCAGTTATATAAGGGTGTTGTCATAGGGTGCATGATGTAATGCTTTTAAAATGGTAATTTCAGTGCCAGGTCAAAAAGTCTTTCCCGAGCAGCATTAAATTTTCAATATTATGCAGATGAATTGACCCAGAGGCTTCAGCTTACGAATATAATCAATATTTCTGTTGCCACAGACCTCTGGATAGTTTCTTGTTGTTCTGAAGTGAATCCAATCCTGGATCACGTATGTAAACAGAATCTTCAGTAAGAGTGTGAGTGGGCGGTCTGTGGGCCATGTGATTTCCTCAACAGCAGGAGGGAACGGGCAGCACTCCCTCATTTGGGCTCCATTCAGAGGAAATTAAAATTCATTTAGCTTAGAGAGAATATGGAAGGAACCGGTGCCAAATTTTACCGCCACACAAGCGAAACTGTCTGCCATTTCTTCATTTTCATTACATGGAAGTGGATTTAACAATCTAACAAGTGGCCACTGCCAACGTGTACTCAAATATGCATCCGCGATGATGTCGTTGCATGTGTTTGTTGCTCTCGCAGGCTCCGAAGGAAACTTTAGCCAAATCCGTATTGGCAGAGCTGCCGCAACAGGTCACACAGTATTTCAAACAGAGGAACCTGTCGCCTAGCAACACAATGCCGGAATAAGCGCTGGAGGCCTGGAGTTCACACTGCATGTTGCCAAAACCTGCTAACTGTTTACAGACCACCCTTGACCAATTCAATGGACAAAGTGCATGTGTTTTTCTGTACAGAAGTGTTTTTAGTAAATGTTTTTATTTATTGGTTTATATATAGACAGTATATATGATGACTTATCAATCTAAAGGCAACAGCCATTTGTGTGTCTGTCACAAAATATGTAACTGTCACAAAATATGTACCAGTATTCGGCTGAATGTAACTTTATACTACTATTTTCTGTGTTTTAAAAGAAGTGAAAGCTAAAGAGTACTTCATGTAGTGATTTGTATTTAGTGATAATTGTGTGGTACCATGGTCAAGGTGGTGCTTTTTGAATAAAATCCAGTTTTGGAATAAAACAGCTTGATTCATATGGACTATATTTTCAATTTCGATAAACTGCATGAAAATGTTGCATAGTTGCAAAATATAATCATTTCTGTTTTGAAGATTATTGAAAGTCTTGTGGTTTTAGAATGCCATGAGAATGAATAAACAATTATAGAAATTTCATTTTTGGTTTTCCTACTAACCAGTAGCCAAATAGCAATTTAGGCATTGTTTTAGGTTACTGCAGCCATTTTAATGTTAGTCAACACAATAAACAAATTAAACACTATTAATGCTGATTAACATAATTATTAAAAAAATGTACATTCACAAATAAAACTATGCTAAATTTAAAAAGAATTATGACTGAAACCCACAAAGATGCTTTTGAGGGTCAAAATTAACCTTCAGCCTCAAAAAGCCTGCCAGTGTTTCAAGAGGGGAGTAATTTTACACAATTAACTACAAAATTATTCAAGTCTGGCTCCATTCTCATATGGACGTTTTTCATATTTTTTTCCCCTCACTGAATATTCTGAAAAAAAAGCACTGAAATTTATTTTTTTCCTGACTGAATATTCAGTTTCACTCAGAAACTTGCATTACAGAACTATAATGGGTTGCAAATGCTGTTTTACATTGATAGGAAATGATAAAAGAAAGAAGAAGCACAAATTCATGAGAAACACCTTTATTTTCCATTCTGTCATCACTGGTTATTTTCCAGTGAACATGACTATCCTTATACGACATGAGCATTCAGCAGCACTGCAGCATTTTGTCTTAAAAAATAAACGTCAAACAAACAAATGAAGAACTCGAGGCATTTAAACTTGAAAGAAGCCCATAATATCTGCTTTGTCCTGTGATGATGGTGTCTGAGATTTGGACTAAATGATTCATGTCTTCTTGATCCACAGCTGTCAGTCAGTCAGTGTCCCCTTGGCCACTAGAGCTCTGCAGAAACCGCAAGGGTGGGTAGATGGGAAGGTGCGTCACCAGGTTAAGCTGCCAGGGGTTTATACTGTATGGAACGTAATATGAGGAGGATGGGGGAAGTGTCATGTTTTGAGAGCACAAGACATCAACAACCACAATAGAAGTTAACATTACAGCCTTTAATAAACATCAAGCAAGTAACCAAACAGATTTATCCAAAAGTGAAACACTGAAATAACGGATACCTAGTGTTAAATCGTTTTAGGTAGTGCACCGCTGAGAAGGCGAGGGGGCGGCACCCAAGCCTTGGGCAGCACAGGTGAGGGAGAGAGTGATAGTGAGTGAGTGTGATCTGTCAGTGTGTCTATCTGAAGAGCCTGTGGCGCTATATGGGAGAGCCAATCTCGTCCACGCTACCTTCGCTGTCGCTGCTGGACTCCGAGTCGCTGCTGCCCGAGTAAGCGCCGAGCCCTGGCAGGATGCCCACGCATACAGCGGCGGAGGGCAGGTGGAGGATGCCTGAGCGAGTCACGCCCGCGCCTGGGGATTTGGGCTCGACCGCCTCCTGATCTGAAAACAAAACAATACATGCACATAGAGCGCACGCAGTCTCTGATGCATTTCACATCTAACACGGCAGGTTAATATGGAAAGGTGATGCAATTTCTCCTGATTTCTAATGGTAAATATTACACTACTTTTACATTTCATCTTGTTAGGTATAGGAATATGCCATGTTAAAATAGAATTTTACTTGTCAGTTGTAAAAACAAAAAAAAGTGTCCGAGTGAACTTGCAATGAATTTCTATGGGGAAACCATTGTACACTGCTATTCAAAAGTGTGGGGTCAGTAAGACTTGTTTTAGCGTTTATGAAAGCAGTCTCTTATGCTCAATTCAAAATACAGTAACAACTGTAATATTGTGAAATATTGTTACAATTTAAAATGACTTTATTTTAATAATTTATTCTTTTGATGGCAAAGCTGAATTTGCAGCAGTCATTATTCCAGTCTTCAGTGTCACATGATTCTTCAGCAGTTGCCACGACAACGCATCCTCCAACCTTCTATCTACAGCATAGTCTATGAGCTACAGTCATAACTGATTGGCAGAAGACAAAGGCCACTGCTGATTATGTCAGCGGTTCCATGATGAAAAATCTATTTTATGATATAGATCAAAGCACAGCTTTGTGTGTGTTTGTGTGTGTGTGTGTATACACAAGACACACAATGATACTAATACAAAACATGATTCAATTCATCGAAGGATTCATAAGACTAATTCAATCAATCTTTTTGAACTATTCATTCAGAGAAAGAGCTCAAAAGAGTCGTTTGTTCGGGAATCGTTTTATGTAGTGCTGTATGTTTGCGTGCACCCCGAGAGGACAACTCGTCATTTTGGGCTACATCGCATCACATTCAACACAGACTGCAAACTCACAATCACAACTCAGGTAAAGAAAGTTTTTTTTTATTTTTTTCCCCCGTTGCGCTGGAGATTCGCTGCCGCATTCCACTGCTGAACGTGGGAAACGAGAAACAACGCGTTCTGAAGGTGAGCTTATCAAAAGTTGCTAAAAGCTGCCAAATAAATTTTTAAAAATAGCTAAATTTGTTGCTAGGTGCTTTTGGAAGAAAAAGTTGCTAGGGTAGTCTGAAAAGTTGCTAAATTTAGCAACACAATTGCTAAGTTGGCAACACTGGTGAGTTCTCCGTGGTAAGAAGAACGATTTTTAGAACTTTTTTTCCAGCCATTGAACGATAAAAACATTGATAGCCAATCAGAATCCACCCGGATGTAAAGAGCTCGAGAATTTAAAGCTGCGGACGACACTACTAATAAACTTTATCGTGTGTTGGTATGGAGTTTATTATAGTTACCCACCGTTCCTGGTGTGAACGGGCCTTAACGCCACATTTCGCTACTTTTTCAGCTTTTTTAATACGCCTTGTCAAGTTAAAGAATTACAAGTTCAACCTGGCCTTCTTTTATATTATAAATACATAAAAATAAATACATTCCTTATTAATTTGAACAGTATTTATATTGTATAGAACTAATTTACGTGAAAGGTTTTCCTTGACAAGGTATCATTAGAGTCCAAAAATGTCCAGCTGCAAAATAAAGTAAACTGCTTGAAACTCTACACATTCAGACTGACTGTTTTCTAAAACCTCTATGCCAGGGGTGTCAAACTCAGTTCCTGAAGGGCCGGAGCCCTGGAGAGTTTAGATTCAACCCTCATTAAACACACCTGATCCAACTAATCAAGTCCTTCAAGCTTATTTGAAAACTATATGGTATGTGTGTTGGAGCAGGGCAGTGTTGCCAATTTAGCTACTTTGTAGCTAGATTTAGCGACTTCCCCACCCCTTTTGAGACTTTTTTTCAAAAGTTTAGGGACAAATATAGCAACTTCTTGGACAAACCTTATCTAAGCTCTCATCTTGCCCACTGATCTACGTTCATCTTTATATAGATCAGTGAATTTGCCGTTGTGATGTCATCTAGTGATATTTAGCTACCAGTTTTAGCTACTTTCAATTGAAAGCAGTTGGCAACACTGGAGCAGGGCTGGAACAAATCTCTGCAGAGCTCTCTGTTTGACACCCCTGCTCTAAGCCATTTGCCAAGCCTGCATGAATTTCTGTCGGAGCAGCGCTGGATCGTCAGTTCCTCTTGGGGCTGTCTTGTTTGAGAACATGTACACTAACAAGGTATAAGAACTCTACTTTACTTTTCACCAGCCATCACTACGCTTGACAGCTGAAGCTTCCACCACCAGCTTAACGAAGGTGAAAGTGGAGACAGACTCAGGCGGAAAGCAAAACTCCCTGTCAATTTTTAAGAGCCATGACAGTAATATTGTGTGCGCTTTAAGGTGTAAAAGGATATCCTGTATTCTTTTATCTCCTGAGCTTCCTCGTCCCGTCTGTGTTTCTCTATTAGAGACTGCTGCCGTGAGACCTCGTCAAGAAAGCTGGTCTCATCTTCATCCAGGCCTTTAACCATGTTCTCTGTGAAGGAACACAACAACAGAATTATGAAGTCTCCATTAGTGGTTCTTTTTGAGGACACTCAAGAACCCCTAAAAGAACCAAGCATCATGAAAATATTTTTTTTTTTCTCAATCAGAACTGGTTCTTCAACCACTAATGTCTGAATATGACCACCATGCTTGCAGAGCAAGAGATGTGGCCCTTGGAATCAACGGCAATAGGAGCAGCAATGGTCGCTAGGGAGACCGAGAGTGGGTTTGTCACCAGGGATACAGAGAAGAAGCCGAGATGCTAAGATCATGCCAGTCTCCCATCAGCACCTGCAAGAACAGACCTGCTCTTGATCTCCACCACTCCCATCTGTTCACACTCATAGACACCCACCGACAAGCTCAAACACACACCAACGCATGTGTGCACACGCATGTTTTTGCGCAAACGGTGACAGATAAACCCCAAAATGAGGTCACGTATTGACGGGAGAGGCAAGCCCCCTGAGACTGTGTGATGTGTGTCATCTGTTTTTGATAAAAATAAAGGCATGAATATGGGAGGAAAGCAGCATGATGGCTTACTGAATTTGAACTGCTCCTCATATTCTTCCTGTTTCTTGTCTTTCTGCTCTTGTAGCCTCTCGTACAGAGATCGGGGGTCATACTCCTCCTCGGGGGCCTCTGTGATTGAGTGAGAATGAACACAACCAAAATTTGTCAAATGCATCGGGGGAGAACTAATGTCTGTCATTAAGCCTGCTGTTAATTTGTGTGATTGATGCAGACAAAGTGAAAGTCTCACCCTCCGGGTCATCTGGCTTGCGGACCTTCTCCCATTCCTCCTGCCTTTTTTTCCTAATCTCGTCTAATTCAGACTCTGACACAAACTTTCGGCTGAGGTCCACACCATCTGCCATGGCAGAACCTACACAACACATGCATATTTTTAATGTTATTAAGTGGTGATCACCACATATATACAAAAATATATTTAACCCATTAAAACTTACCTAGATGCTGTTTATTTAATCAGGATAAACACTTTAGGTAGTTCATGAAGTCATCTGCAATAGATTCTGTTCAGAGATAGAGAATAAAAACTTGTGATAATTGAAAAACCATTTCACCTAGCATTCGAGCAGAACTAATTACATTAGATGAACGCTGACTCATAAAGAACTTTAAGATCAAATAGTGAACAATGCCTTTTCAAAGAGAAATACACATGCATCTAACTATTAATTTTAAATGTGAAGCACGATATAAATTAAATTCCAAGTCCAGAGATATATAATAGATACAGCAGATAATTTGTCTAAGCAATGTTGACAGATTTGGTAAGAAAAGGTAAACACTGCCCCCTCGTGCTGGATTTAAACGGTGAAAGCAATAGATCCCAGATACAAACTCACTTATTTCCTTGCTTATAGCTATTTAAACTGCAGACTTATTGAAAGCAACCAAATATTTCAAAGTGTTTAGCAAACATAAAGCATCTACTCCATATAAATGGTGCTAGAAACACCCTGAGATGGCAAAATATATTAATAAAAAATCTAGCTCAAACCATAGTTTATCAACACTTTCACTGTCAGTGTGGATGATTGATAAGAAACCTATACCATCAAGTAGTATTGTGATAAAAAAAATAATCAAAACAAAAATAAAGACGTATAATGCAATAAGGGTGAGAAAGGCTAGACTCTGTACGGTTATTTTATTTTGAATATATGCAAGAAACACTGCGATACTACTCTGCAACAGACAGCAAGGCAGCTTCAGTGCCTTGATATTGATTTCAAATAGAGCGTGCAAGGCTTTGATTCGCACTCACTGGATCAGAAATCAGCGGTATTTATACAGCGATTGGTTTAATACACATTATATAATCTTAAAGTCGGTTTGTTTTTATATGTCAGACAAATAATGATCGAAGTGAAAAAAAGAGACGAGGAATAAATAATTATTTCAAGAAGGTAATGCGCTCAGATATTTACCTAATCCGGGTTTGTGTCCCTGTAAAAGGATCCCCTCAGCAACAAGCTGCTAAAGACGTAGTTCCTACGCACAAACTACTGACTCATGGGAAATGTTGTTTTCATGGGCAGGTTTTTTTCTTCAAAAGTGCAATTCGTTTCTTTACGGGTAAATAATCATATGCACGTTCAAATTAGCTGTTAATTTTATGTAATTTCAATGTTCTGTTAGTTACGTAAGCCAGTTGTTTAATCTTGTTTTGTCTTTCCAATTAAGTAATATAGTTAAGAAAAGCAAAGGGATTTGTGCTTGTAGATTTTTGGACCATTTCTTTGTGGTGAACCCGCTTGTATGAATAAGTTATTAGAGTTGCAACATAACTGAATTTCCTCAAGTTTTGATTTGTATCTCTAAAATAAACTACTTAGACAACACACACACACGAAAGCAAAAAGTCTGACAAATATAGTATTTATCACTTGTATATTTGGAATTTGTGTACACAGCCCCCTCTTCAGAAGAATTTGGTTTGTTTTACTGGTTGCTGGGAGGGGTTGGGTCCAGCATCATGTGCTAGACAGAAATATGCGACAACGAATCATTCCTTTGAATCACATCTTTTTTTAATGAACCGACTGAACCGGTTCACAAAAACGAATTGAATGATTGATCATGAATAGGATGAGACGGGTCGCGTGATGACGGAATTACGTTCTGACGTAAAGGAACAGCGGAATCATTTGTTGAACCGGTTCTTTGAAACGAGTTGTTCAAAAGAACCGTTTCGCGGAAATGAGTCGGACTTCCCATAACACCACGCAGAGCTCTCATTGATCTCCAGCTATCTCACACTGATTCCACGCAGTTTTTATGGTTTCACTTCTCAGTCAGCCGTTTACTTTCGTTGTCAAACACCGGCTGGATCAGCCTTTCTGCGTGGATCGGCAAAATGTTGATTGTTGAAGTGGTTGTTGTGCGTGAGAGAACGAATCATATCGCTGAGAAGTAAAGCACACACACACACTTCCCGTGTAGTCTTTTGTGTTCGGCCTACGGATCAGTGCTGTTTCATTTACTGAAAATCGCCGCTTTACCGGGTGAGTAAATACTTGTTTCTGGTATATCCACATTATTTAACGATAAAAGACCTGCTAGTGTATGTGCCAATTTAAAGAAAGGCTTTAAACTAACGCTTTGTTCATCTCTTTGGAGGTGTGGCTAGTTATATGGTTGCTAACGTTAATTTCTGACATTATAAAAAAGGCTGTGTTAAAAGACCTAACGTTAGTAAGCTACTTAGACAACATTACCGGAATTATATTCACGTCAGCAGCATTTGTGGGCATAGGCCTGTTCGGCGTTTTTAAGTATCAAGAAATTGGATAAGGAGACAGACAAAATGACAGCCTGAGTCACCGTTCACTTTCATTATGAGCATTCATGAATTGAAAGTATATGGTGGCTGACGTTGTCAGTCTCCAACCATCTACTTAGCATCTCCTTCTTGTTTTATGGGGGACAAATGGTTATAAAGTTTTAAATCTCAATGACAGACTTTTCATTTACAGATGAACTATCCCTTTAAATGCTGCCTACGTAGGCAGCTCACTATGGTTTGAGACGCAGCCATAGAGACTCAAGTTTATTGACGTTAATGTACTGAAATGACAGTTTGCTGTTTATAAGCTTTCAGCGGCTTTGTAAATGTCAGTGATTGTGTTAAGCGTACACTGGCCAGTGTTCATTCATGTGTGAGTGGGTTGTTGTGTTTTAAATGGGGTTTTTGTAAAGTTGTTTGGTTTGCTAGCTGTTAGTTAGCCACTGCTAACACTGACAACTGCTGTAATCGCATATCCTAGCAAGGATATTTGTATAGCTTATGTAACGTTACTTAAATACGAACTGCCTGTTGTTTTTATGTAGTTATTGTACATTATTTTTTAACTGAATTTATATTTAGGTTAATATCAAATTAGTCCGGTTAGTTTTTTGATATTGACTGTGGTAACTGTACTATACTGGCTACTTAGAAACTTTATGCCTTAAAGCAAAACATTGTTCAGGAGACAAGCCCTGGATATTATTGTAACTAATAATATCAGCAATAAACATTTAAAAAACATTAATATATTACATATGTTGTTATATGAGATCAGTGACTAATATCACTGTTTAAGTGTTTTACTTTAACAAGCTACATGAAAGAATATATTAGTGGTTCCTTTGAGCATTTTATTTACGATTAGCATGTTTCGCATTGTCATGTTTTCTGTCCACACTGATAATAATTGGATGTGTATTGTTTTTCAGGAGTGAAAACCTCCCAGGCTGTAGGATGTGTGTTGACTGCACTATTAGCTTTGCTCGTCTGCATCTGGCTCCTGATGGTCTGCAGTAGCACAATGACAGACACGTCTACCCGACCCGTACCGAGACACCTTCTAAAGTCCTTCCAATGATATGATAGTAGCCACCTGGATTGCATTCTGTGCCAGCAGGAGCCTCGTGCGGGTTCTGCGACTCACCGTAGAACAGCTGCAGTCAGTGCAGTTTTGGCCCAGCCTCTCGTCCGGCAGAGCCATGGGGAACAGCTGCGTGTGCAGAGAGGACAGTGACGTGGAGGAGGGATCAGCCCCTCGCAGGCAGCTCAGGCGAGTGGAAAACTCTGTGTCTGATCCCCCAGAGGCCAGAGGCAGCCGGCCCAGGGACCCGGTTCGACCACCCCGGCGAGGTCGAGGACCGCACGAGCCACGTCGGAAAAAACAAAACGTGGACAGTTTGGTACTGGACACACTGGCCGTCATCAGGACTCTTGTTGACAAGTGAGTGAACATTTAATGACAAGAGGATCTGCAGAGATTTGTCATTAAATCTGTGTAGGAATGAATCATGCACGTCATATCAATTTCAGTTCCCGGTTCACTCGCGCGTCAGCAATAACATCTCTCCATCTTTGGCTAAAAGCATTGGCTTGCTGTTGAACATCCATTTGCATTGTGGGTTGTTTTCCAGGATTATTGTCTACCACAGCAAAGCCACACAGTCTGCAAGAGCTTTCACTTTTGAAATAAAGCAGCTTTAAATGTGCAGAGCTTATGGAGAAGCCCGGCACAGCTCTGTAATGAGCATTCCATTATTTATTTATTCATTCGTTCGCACAGCACCACATTTAGTGCTTTCACACCTGGCTCGTTGTTTCGGAACCTGGCGCGTTTCCCCCCTTAGCTCGGTTCGTTTGGGCATATGTGAACACGGCAATCGCGCCCGGATCCGCGCC